TTTTAAAAATTGCTATAAAAACGGGAACCTTATTTTGAAGTATACTATCTAGCAATTGCCTTCCGTAAAGTGCTCACTCTTGGCTATATAGAGTCTCGTTTTCGTGACTGAGATATTGGGTTAGAGTGCTTTATCTTTTTTACAGCCTAGGCGACACATTTACGACACCATACAGTTATATCAATGAATATAAAAGACGTGTTTATAATTATGTCATCAGTATAACAAGATAAAAGCCCCGTTTACACTACGCTCAATTTTTGGTACGGCACGGATAAAATTGGTACCCGTACCACTTTTTTGGTTCTTGGACTACCTATTTAGCTAAGCCCCGTTTACACTACGCTCAATTTTTGGTACCGTACCACTTTTTGGTTCTTGGACTACCTAAATAGGTAGTTTTCAAGTTTTTAAAAAATAGGGAGTTTTTCAAGTTTTTTAAAAAAATAGTTTTCAAAAAAGTTTTAAAAAGTTTTAAAAGAGTTTTAAAAAGCAAAAAAAGTTTAAAAAGTTAGATTTTTAAAAATGTTAAAAAAGTTTAAAAAATTTAAAAAGTTAAAAAAGTTAGGGTTAGTGGTTAGGGGTTAGTGGTTAGGGTTAGTGTTAGGTGCCGCGAATTTATCATAATGATAAATTCGGACGTGTTTAAGAATTTACTCATATAGTAAATTCAAAGGTGGAGCTCATGCTGTAATTAAACCAATAGCCAGGGCTAAGAACTTTCCAGAAGGGTGTATTATACTTATTTTTACTTGCTTATATATATTGTATTTTTCTCTTAAACCAAGTTCATTGTAGGTGTATAAATTATTTGTTAAAAGCACCCACAATAATTGCTTAACACTGTTGTGGCTGGCAAAGTAAAATAAATACAATAAAATTATTCTCTTACTTATTAGCGATTGTTGGATCATGGCCATGCAGCATGTTGGACAGGTTTGAACAGACTTTTAGTTTGTATATTGCTTATTCTCGTTGAATATGAACAAAACTATCAATTGTAACAAGCGCGGGATAATTACTCGAAAGTTGTTCATTCGCTACGCATACGTTGATAACATGTGTTGAATAGGCAGTGAATAACAATACAAACCAACAATCTAAAACATTTTTAAAATGAAACGTTTACTTGTAGCTTTTTTGCTTTTTCCATCTTTTCTTTCTCAGCTTGAATCCATGGACTTCCTTCAAACTGAGCTGCCAGTGCGGGATTACTGTTCATCATCAGCAATAATAATTGAAGTTGTCTAACCAGAGCAAATATGTCACACGATTATATAATGTTTATTAATCTCTTTTTTGAAATTAACTTTGAGAACAGTCGCAGCGGCATTAATGTTATCATGTGTACGTAGGTAAATTGTTGCGTAAAAAGCCCAGTCAAAAGAGTTCATGAGAATTGCCAGTTACACATTGTTACGGGGTACATTTCAAGCTCTAGATTAACAAAATAAAAGTGACTTGATGAGCGTTCCAACTCTTACAATTTAAAAAAATGCATATCACGCACTCTTCCGGCGCCCTAATCCTCGGTTGATCCGAGCTTATATAAACATGCAAATTTTCAACAAAATATATATTATGAATATATTATGAATAAATTACAATGGGACATATAAGTTCCCATTTGTAATCAATTTGAGACTGTAACGAACATAACGATCCAAAACACTTAAACCCTTGCAAGATATATAATTTAAACTGAAGGATAATGAAAATGTAATGCACATATGTATATTGGTCAGAATTTTTCCAGTGGGTAGTCGACAATTTCGCAAGGGAGCTAGGGGCAAGTCAGAGGTCCTCGAGCTTCCCTTCTGACCTGGTTAATGACCACCTTGTGACATAGTCGTTGACATCCATGTACAATTCATATGGACGAAAATCTCGAGAAATATAAGGCAGCTTACCCTGATACTGCAGGTTCTTTTGGAAGATCAGATGGATCCAAGCACTGTGAAAGGATGTATTCCAAAACGTCCTCGTTATTTCTATTAGATATAAGAGCGAAATATTAAGTTGTTCAAATCTGAAACTTTGAAAATCGTTTTCATCTAATGTACGGATGAACAGTCGGAAATAGGTAGCAACATGACACTTCGAAACTTCAATACTTTCAATGTCTGTAATTTTATATAACAACTTTATTGGTACCACAACGAATACATTATTCATTAAAATAAGAACAATAAGATTAATGTTTGTAATATTAAATGGCACAAAAAGGAAAGATGCAAACGAGACGGTTACGTCCATGCATGCATACAAGACCTTTACTATATCAACTATTGATCTCAGTTTGGATACAGAGCGTATGCATAAATGATCTATGCAGAGCGTATGCATAAATGATCTGTGTGTGTGTGTGTGTGTGGGGGGG